GCCGTAATTTTGATACGAATGGCGCTCAGAGGCATGTATGGCGGTCAGGCACAATATCCGCAAACGCCATATACCCCTGAGCTGAAAGTGAAGCCGGAATCCAGAGACTCCTGTGAACAGCCCTTATGAGGCATACGTGCCAACCATCGAGATCTTCCCATCCGTCCCCCTCCGTATCCGTCAAAGGCAACAACCCACATACTGAGAAACCTAACGGTGCTGCTTCATCCGCATACGGTCTCTAACCCTAGCACTCTCGCGTGGGAACTCCCCGCCGGCATCCGCGGCGGTTGTCAAACTTACATGAACCGCACGCAGCTCACCGCTGATCACTCATACAGCCCTCCCTGTAGACCGCTTCATCGGGCCGCGTCGAGGTTCCCACTCATCACACCCCGGAAGAAGACGTTGCGTTCTGCATCTGGCCCCGGCGTGGGTATCCACTTGGCCGGCCCCGTGTTGGCCCGTGTGTTCGGCGCCGGGTGGCCCGCGACTTGCCTATTCGGGATATGGGAAGTCGGGGGACTGGGCTACTTTGGATGATCTGCAAACGGTCCGTTGGTATAAGACTGAGTCAGTTCACCACAAGTTATGGTATGCGATGGGCGGTTTCCGTATGTCTTGCTATTCCATGATCGGCTTCAAGAACAAGAGCGGGCGGCTTTTTCTCACTTTTTCCTACCATGTAGGAGACAAGATCAGTCAAAAGCTCTCTATTATGTCCATTTTGAGTCCATTCTGAAATGTTGCGAAACAAAGACACCAGGATGATGCCAATCTCTATAATAGCCGCGGAGGCTCATCAACGAGAGACAAGAAGATGAAGTACATGGGACCTTGCCGAGCGTCCTGGGACCACCCAGGATTTTCCACAGTCATTATTTTCGGGAATCATACCATCCTCCCATTCTCAGCCCAGAGAAACACCCAATTGTGTATGCTGACTTCTGCCTTTACAGGGGAAGAGTCTCCTGCGCCGCGGAAACGGAACCATTGTTGACAGCAGCGCGGTGTCCGCGAGCAATGTATCCGTAGGCGGGGTAGTAGGTGTCGAGCCAGGAGAAGAGCTCGAGGGCGCCAGGGGTGTTGCGCCAGTCGCGCATGAGGTCGAGGGAGATGGAGAAGAGGGAGACGACCTGGACGCCGGCGGCGGCCATGCGGTCGTTGGAGACGTCGCGGATGAGCTCGGTGGTGGTGCCCGAGGCCTCGACGTTGGCCCAGACGGAGTAGCCCTCGGCGCGGAGGGAGAGGGCGAGGAAGGTGGTGCAGACGTCCGTGGTGATGCCCGCGAGGATGATTTGCGACTTGTTGGCGGCGCGGACGGCGTCGCGGAAGTCGGAGTTGTCCCAGGCGTCGACCTCGCCGTTGCGCTTGATCAGGGGCGCGGTGGGGTGCATGTCGAGGATCTCCTGGGGGAGGGGGCCGTTGGGACCTGTTGATTTTGTTTGTCAGAAATCTGAAAGCAACAAGAGGGGTTGAGGGACTCGTACCGGTCTCGGCGGAGGTGGTCAGCACGACGGGGAGGTCAAAGACCTTGGCCAGGGAGGAGTGAGCGAGCATCGAGTTGCGGTAGAGGGTGGGGTCGAAGTCGCGGGCGAGGTTGAAGAGACCCTCCTGCATGTCGACGACGAGCAGCATCGAGTCGTTCTTGTTGAGCCTCTCCCAGGGGACGGCTTTGGCTCGTGTTAGTAGAGCTGTGCTGTATCCAAGGAGACTTGAGATGAAGCCATTGGGTGGGAAGCTTACCATCAGCGTTGGCAACGGCGGAGAAGAGCGCCGAGACGGCGACAGTCATGGAGAACTTCATCTTGAGGAAGGATGTCTTGGAGGCTGGTCCTTTGGAGAGTTGTTCGAGTCTTTGAGATGAAGGAGACTGTTCTTGATTTGTCTGCTGGATGAGGATGAAAAGAAAAGCGATGATTAGAGGCAAGGTCCTTCCCTCTTCTTATACAGAATTCTAACGATGTGCAGCGGAAGCAAAAACGCCCTCTAGTGACAGTAACATCAGTGGCCAAAGTCCCTCATTTCGGAGTAGACTCCGTTGAGCCAGTATCGTGAACGAATGCGTGGTTGTCAATGACCAAGCCAAGCACGTTATCGACAGGTGGGGTTTCCAATAGATCCGAATCCTAGAAGCATAAGGAACAATTCCGAATAGTCGACATGCAAGATGCAGGGCATTGTCAAAGCCTTGCCCGTCCCTCCTTGATAGGAAATTTCCCCGTTAGGAAACATGCTGAAGTTGACGATGGGGAAAAAGCGTATGGCTTTTGGCAAGCATTCGGTAACCAAGACGTTGGACGTTAGTAAGCTCCCCTGGTTCATCCAATGCCACAGCGAACGCATCAAGCCTCTTCGGTAGCTTGCGATGTTTGTCATTGGGTGGTTCTCGCTTACCGAGCGGTCCTGGGTTGCTTCGAGGTGGAACTCCGCTCGGTGCGACCCACACCCGCATATTGTGATTGCGGAGAAAGGTTACCAGTGCCGTTCTTCTCTGTAAATCCGGTCTCCATCATGGAATTGGCCTTTCTTCCGAGATCTCATTGCTGGGGAGAAGTTGATGCGCGGGCTTGACTAAGCTCGACAAATTCGATGTTACAGAGAAGAATCTACCTTACCTAACGCAGACCAGGCAGGGTCAGCAAAGCATTGAGTAAGATAGACGAGCTGCAGAACCTCATTTCCCCAGCCCCGCCGACGCAGAGCTTCAGAATATGACGTCCTGCCTACTTGGCGATGGGAGGACGGGGCAGACGTTGGCGGCTTAGCTAAGTACCATGTCGGTATTTGATAAGGCGGTGGCTTTGCTTGGTGAGATGCGTCCCGCTCCGTTGTGGAGACCATCGGGAACCGATGCCGCCATCTCAGAGTGGAGGCGCCGATTCCTAAGCTGAGATTGCGAGTGTGTCAGCACCCATCTGTTCACGTGGGAGCTATGTCTGGTGTAAGAAAGCGTCACTGGGGTTCCTTGGCACTTTTCCGGTGAGATGTTAGTTGACTTCAGATCTTCTCAATGTCTGAAAAAGCTGTACTTACCTCGATTTGGACATACCAGGTACTAAGATACTGGGCTACGCGACATAGCTCAGACGTCACTTAGGTGTTAAACAAGCTCAAATGAGACTTGGAGGTCATGAAATATGTCAAGAGGGAGCATTGAGTGGGTACAGAGTTTGTTGTTGCACAACATGATTATCCTCATCGAGAAATACCGAATCAATAGCTTGGAAAACTGATGATGGCTCAGACAATCCACACAGAAGATAGATAAGAAAGAAGTTGAACATCGCATTTCTCAGGTATCTGTCACATCTACACCTCGGTATGCTCGGCATCAACGCCCCTGTATTCGAAGAACTTGTTCCACTCAGAGTCCTCGATGAGCGCCTGAGCCAGTTCCTTCTCGTACATGATGGCAATCTCTGGTCCCTCATCTGACTCAGGCCTCGGATCCCGAGGCGGGTAGACAAGCACGCCTCCCTCAGAGATTCGACCCATTAAGTACCGATAAGTCGCAGGCTTCCCGAAGCCAAAGTCTGCCGAAGGAATATTGGCGTCACGGTGGTCTACCACAATGGTCGACATGGGCGGATGCGAATCGATTCTTGAGTTGAGACTCGACTTCACGCGGATCGTCGCCACCATCTTGAGCGTTTCGTCGAGACTTTCTTGCGTCACGCTGTCCGTCAGTTGTCGCACATACCGAGCTACCCGCCAGAAGGGCCAGTCTGAGATGAGCTCAGATACCGTGGGTTGTTCCACGGGTGCCGTCGTAGACATGGCCACGTACATGACGTTTTGCTGAGTGCGAGCGGGCACCTTTGGGCTGTGCAGACGTCGACGCATGTCGATGGTCTCGCACCAGAAGAGCTTTGATTCTGGCGGAGTCTTGAACACCGGGGCTCTGAGACGAGTCATGTGCCGCCACATGAACGCCGAAAAGGCGTCGTAAGTCGAGATCCACGTACCGTCCTCGGGCTTTGCAAGGTCTTTCAGCTGAGCGGCTTTACTCTTTGGTAGATGGAAGAGAAGGCAGAGTCCGACTTTGTGGTTGGGGTGTCTGTCAGGTGGCGGTGGTCCATCAACCTTCTCTTCCTCTGGAGGCTCGGGCTTGAGAAAGCGGGAGACATCATTACAGGCCGGGTCCCACGAAGGGTAGGGAGTGCCATTGCTAAACGCAGAACAATTCTCGGCCAGCTGGTGGATGAAGCCGGCCCAGGCCATGACGTCTTGGGAGTAATGATGGTGGTGCGTGCTGAAGACGAGTCCGCCGCGGACGAAGTTTGCCTTGAAGCCCGCCGTGACGGGACTATGTTCCGGAGTCGCCTCGGGCCTCTCGCCGTAAGTCATCGGTGGCACGGCCCAGAGCCTGAGATCGCCGAGGGACACGGCGCTGAAGTTGGCCTTCTCGATGTCATCGAAGGACGGATACTTGTCGGCATCCTCTGGGGCATCAAGCCATTGAACGACGAAGCGGACGGTCGAGTCCTTTATTTTGGTGAAGGAGTAGTCGCCCCAAGGGTCTTTCTCGATTCTTCCGTTCAACTGGCGGACCTGAGCAAGCGTTCTCTCAAGACCTGCTTTCAGAACTTCGATCACTCTTGGTTTGGCGGCATCGTCTAGGCGGAAGAATACGGCGTAGTGGTTACATGTTTGGCACGTTAAATAATCTAGGGTAGAGACTCTGAATCTCTCCACTTCTGGGTCGTTCTCCCAACCGTGAGGATGAAGATCGTAGAATTCTTCCTTTGGCATGATTTATTGGTTCTGCATCGAGATGATTTGGAGGGAATTGCAGGTCTTCGGACTCGAACATCGCAAAATGGCAAAAGACATAGAACCTAGTGGCCGGGGTCGTCTTGTGTCGCATCAGATTGAACTGCGACCGTGTCGGAAAAGACTCCTTCACCCTGGCACCTTCCCCAGGCTCCTCAAAACATTCTTCGATCTGTTCATCGCTGATTGGAGGATCCAACGAGCAGTCTTCCCGATTCGGTGGGTTAAGTCGTGAACCAACGGCTCGCCAAGGACTCTGTTTTGTTGGCCGGGTGTGTAGAACCCCATCGGAGCCATAGCCAACATCTACATGCTTGCAAACCCCATTCACCGTGAAATTTGCTTCGAGCATGGGTTTCTTTTCTCCATATTATGTGTCCAATCATTAGGCAGGAAGGTGGCTGCCAGTATCTGCCGGTCGAAATGCACGAGGTAATTCTTGTACCAACGAAAATGTGACTAGGTGGAATTATAATACTAGGGGTATTCTGTGCCGAATCCCGATCAAACATACAATCTCAGCCCCCTGAACATTTGGAAAGAGTGAGAGTATCTTGGGTTTATTTGTACTCAATTAACATCGCGATCTTTGTGGTTGCCGTGGCTGTACTGAGGAGGGCCATGGCAACCGATAGCTGTTGAACTCCGATGTCACCTCGTCACATACCTCTAGGAAATATCAATCATAGGCGTTCGGGAAGAAACGATTTTCAGAGGTGCCACCGTATGTGAACAAAGTCAAAGTCCAGATGTCGAGTCCGCAATGTTGAATGGCTCCTGATAACCTAGCGACAGACGCGACTGCCTTAGCCTCATGCTCACTTGAGAACTGTGAGTATTCGCCTATCGTGTATTCAGAATCTCTATGAGGGTAAATCTATATACATCTACCTTATTGCTAAGTACGAGAGACCGGGACCACCGTCGACCGCCTCACTGCCTGATCAACTCATACTTCCTTCCATCTGCCTAGTTCCTTCTGTTTCTTGACTGCAGCACGGAAAACTCTTTCCTCTTTCCGTTTCGATTCACTTGTCCTCCAGACTTAAAATTATCCACACGCAAATGAGCCTCAAAACTTTTTCATCCCCCACAACCACGCGCCCATAACTACAAAATACCTGCTTCTGCAACACTCACCAAGTCATCAAGATAAAAGTAAGTCTTCCTTCAACCAAAAATGCTTTTATATTCAAAACGCTGATGACATTTAGCCATAATACCTCGACCGCACATCAAAAACCTTCACAACACTAAGAACTTACCACAGTATGCTCTATCTGACCATTACTTCCCAAGTGAACTTATCAAACTGACGAAAATCCTTCAGAAAAACATCATGGCTGACCAGAACCTTCCCGAGATGTCCGCATCCGATGTCAACTTCATGTGTCATGTTTTTATGCACATGACCGAGAAGCCCGTGATTGACTGGGACAGCTTCGCTGTTGCCGCTGGCTTCAAGAGCGGAGGTGTCGCTCGAGTACGTTCGCGTTCCCCTTGACAAAAATATCTACGCAGTCAACATGTGCTAACACTTTGACGTTCAGACTAGGTGGGGTCAGATCAAGCGCAAGTTCACACCGGCTGATCAGGCCACCCCCAAGAAGAAGGCTGCGCAGGCTTCTATCGGCACCCCGACTTCTGGCTCGAAGGTCGCGAAGCCCACTGGACGAGTTGGCTCCAAGGGCGCCAAGGGCGCCAAGGGCAAGAAGATCGCCAAGGATAAGGAGGTCGAGGATGAGGAGGTCGAGGACGAGGCCGGTGATGACAAGGCTGTCATCAAGACCAAGGAAGAAGTGTTCGACATCTAAGAAGACTTCTCGATTACCAGATTGCCGAGAATGAGTGGATGTTCAGGAACGGAGATCTTTGGAGAGGTGGACTCTAGGCGTGGCCTATACGATATGTCTACGGTGCCAGGATAGTCTGGGGATAGCCCAGCCAGGAAGTCGATACGATCTCGAGTTTACAGGAGCACTTTTACCCTTCTCGTCGTGACTTCTGGGAATGTTCAAGTCCATACGCCACTCGAGTAACATCTGTCCATATGTGAGATTACGCCCCATGTCTGGCCTGATACTCAGATGGGTAAGTCTGCAACACCCAAAAGCCACTGCCCATCACCATTGAGTCTGACCTGATCTCGTTAGGCCTAAATATGTCAGTAAGAAAAGTATAGGATCAGCAAAACAACCTTGAAGTCACTTTTGGTGAGGTCCTTCATTTATTTATCTTTCTCACCATCAGAATTGTCAGTTGTCTTTGCTCTTCTTGTCTCTTCTCGCCTCCATTGTTATCTATCTTTCCACACTCTTCCAGTTTTCAGTATTGCCAGCCTCCCTCGGTAGCCTAACTTGACGGAACGTTGACTGATCTGCTCCCGCCCCGTACGGGCACAGCAGCCTCACAAGGCGGGTACTCTGAGTGAGGGCACCTTCTCGACTGATGGACCGGTGCCTATGGGGGACTCAAAACCCCTTCTACTGAGGCTGAAGCCGAAATTTTCTTTCTTCCTTCTTCCCACACTTGTCTCAGGTCACTCAGCAGACACATAGACAACTTGCAAAATCCAGCATTACTCTCCACATCAATATCTACACATCACCAGACACCATCGTAAGTTACTTTACTCTCAAATATCCCATACTTGAGAAGCCTTCACTGAAGATTTTTACTGACTTGAGCTAGCATAATGCCTCCCAAGAAGTCCACTGCTACCGAGGGCGAGTCCGCCGTCCCCATCCTCACGGAAACCGAGGCCAGGTTCGTCAAGGCTGTCTTTGACAGCATGAACACGCGCCCTGACATCGACTATGAAAACGTCGCCGGTATCATGGGCTTGGCCAATGGCAAGAGTGCCAGAGACCGCCTTCGTACCATCTCCAAGAAGCATGGCTGGTCCGCCACCGATGGCTCCAGCGGTGGCAGCCCTGCTAAGAAGCCTGTCGGAGTGAAGAAGACGCCCGTCAAGAAGAAGGGCATCGCCCAGCGCAAGAAGAAGGTGAGTCGTATGATATGTTTTTTTTGTAATTCATTCCCCGAAATTTTCTTTTTCTTCAATCTTCATAATATTTTCTCCATTAAGTACCGATGCTGACCATTAATAGACCGCCAAGAAGAACGAGTCTTCCGGCTCTGACGTTGACGAGGACATCTCGGGCAAGCTCGAGTCTGACACCGATGGCGAAGCTGCTGCCAAGGCAGAGCTCAACAACCCGGATAGCGACTCCGACTGAATGTCTCCGCTGTGACTGAACGCTGTGTTTCAGTCAGTGCTCAGCAGAAAAGGGATACGAAGCCGGCGAACTCTCTGCATATGGTCTTAGCGTGGGGAATATCTGGATTGGGGTTGGGTGATAGCAGGATATGCTAGCTTGAGCAACTCAATTCTAACTCGTCTCATAAGCCGTATCCTTTTCGAAATCATAATGTCATCGTGAAGCCTACCTGTTTGCCCTTCATTTCTTGATTTCTTGAAGCTCAGCCTGATTTTTCTGGGTCTGAAAATTGTCTTTAGGTCAAGGAATAGTCCATCAAGCAGGGTCTGGTTCATATAGCTATCTCTTGGAATCGTCTCGAGATCTAGATTGTTATTCCCGTTCTTTCTGTGGCTCTCGCCTTGTCTGAATAACGTCTGATCATTGTGTTGTCGGTTGGTTTTCTTTTCGTCCAGACTTTGCTCGCCATTTGTTTGAATCTCTTTGACCAACTGTCTTGCCTCTTGTCACCTTTTGAACCGCATAGTCTTGCTTCTTGTCTGATTAGGTAGCTCTCGCTATTTCGTCTGGTCTTCTTTTCGATTAGAGCATCCTCTCCATTATTGATACGACCCTTCAACCACTCGACTGATCTGCCTCATTCATGTTTTGAACCACCTGTGAGTGCCTCTTGTCTCAGGTAGAAAGATCTCACCATATGGTCTAATATTCAAATGTGTATCCAAATTTCTCCCGCTAGCACAGTGAAGTTCCTTTAGTCAACTGCCTGACCAGCCACATTCTGAACTAGTTGTCCCTGCCTCTTGTCTGAGTAGCTCTCGCCTTATCACCTGATCATTGTAGTGTCGTCCAGTGCCTTGCCTTTCGTCCAGACTGTTCTCGCCTTTCGTCCAGACTGCCATCGTCTTTCGTCTTGACTACCCACTGAGGTCCGGACTGCTCCCGCCATATTGATAAGAGCCTTCAAGCACCTGCCTAACCTGTCCACATCTTGAATCACTTGTACCCGCCTCATCTCCTGGGTTCTTGCCAATACAGCCGATCAGAGACCAAGCTTGACTATTTGAGCCAGCCTCTCACCAGAACTTCTCACCAACCCAACTCTTCTTCACAACAACCCCTCAACCTTCCAGCTCTTGGGCTTTGCTTTCGGAATTCATCTTCATATAAGACTACTCATACTTAACTTCCCCCAACAATACCCATACTCAACCTCTTCCACTCCACTCAAGATGGCTTCTGTCGGAACCGATGCTGAGGGCCAGGTGACCTTCCTGGTTCACTGCATCAAGCATTCTTCCAGTGGAAAGGTAAGTGCCATATCACTTGATTACATCTAGAGACTCAAATCATCTAACAAGAACAGATCGATTTCCAGGCGGTTGCTACCGATTGCAACATCGCGTCCAAGGCCGCTGCGTAAGTCAATTTTCTTCCCACACTCCTCGTCAAGTTTTCGACAGGAACAAGCTGACCTGGCATGCCGTCCAGTGCCAAGCGTTTCGAGCGCATCCTCAAGCCTCATGGCATGAAGACTAGCGACTTGTCCAAGGCTGGCCCCATAGGCAGTGCTGCACCTCCTGGTAGCAGCAGCGCCAGCCCCAAGACCCCGGGCAAGGCTACGCCGAAGTCGAAGGGCAAGCGCACCCCTACTGAGACTCCTACTAAGGAGACGAAGCGCGTTAAGCTGGCTAACCACCCGGCTGTCTCGTCTTACAATGACGAGGACGATGCTGAGGATCTGCCTCAGTTCAAGGTCAAGGACGACCCCGAGGCCTCTGGCATTGACCCAACCAACGGTTCGTACAACGACATCCCCCGAGGCCGCGATGGCGATGACGATGATGACTTGCAACTTCTCTACGTTGTGGAGAAGACGAGCGATTGCCCGATTCACGATTGCGGCGGATCTCGAAGTCCTTCTTCCGCGTCCGTTTCGAGCGATACTAATACCGAGGGTTTCACACAGATGGTGCCAAGGCCGACGAGCATGCCGAGATTTAGCGACATGCCAGCTTGCTATCAGGGCTGGGGATTCCTACCGGAAATGCCAGTCTACGCATGGCCAGATACGTGCGCGATACATGGGGAGCTAGAAGCAGAACAGTTAGCCGGGATATGTTAGTATTTTTTAGTCAGTTCTTCTAAGATTTTTCTAACAAATTCTAAATAGGAATGGAGATTGGCTCTTTACAGGGACGATGTTGCCATCATGGTTCACCAACATACGCCGGCAGAGATGGCTCATACATGGGAGTGGTGATGGTTAGGGTCAATTAGAGACTCAAGAAATAGAACGAGTGGCTTTCACTTCTTTCGCAATGCAATGATCACATACAGGCTTCGTGAGACCCGAGAATGGTGCGCGCCGTTGAAGGTTCCGCAATGGCGCTGCCTGATTGGGCAAGTGGAACTGTCTAGGCAACGGTCGGCAGGGGTCATCCCACTTCTTCCGGAGCATTTGGGGCTCAATTTCAACGACACTCTTATTCCTGTGTAAGAACAGCCTCCTCAAAGCCGTCGTGCCTGCCGTTCATCACAACGATTGTTTGTCGTATCCTGCGCCAGTTGAATCGCATAGGATACAACATAAGTCTGTCATGAGGTTCCATGATGCTACCCAATTTGCTTCATCGCATGCCTTGTTTGCCGTCCCGGGTCTTCTGGCCTTCAGACGGTGCTGCTGCTGCGCGCGCCGTGGGAATCTTGTGAGTGATTGATATTGAAATCTCAAGTGATAAGTTCAAACAATTTCAGTCATTCCAAGCCCGTGACTACTGCTCATTTGCGCCCCAATGAATTCGTTTACCTTTGGGGCATCTACTATCTTCCACCGATGCTAGCCAACTTCAATTCACATGGTCTGCATCTTAAATTCGAGAGCATAGAGAAACCTCGCATTGACAATTGAATCTTCTGGACGCAAGATATCTATGGTAACGTGATAAGTCATCAAGGATACGAGAATGCTGGCTTCCAGCATTTTCGAGTGGTCACAAAGGCAACCCAGATAGGTAGGTATACATCAGGCAGGTGCACTTCCCTCTGCACCTCCCTCCTCCCTTCCCAATTTCAAGCTCAGAAAACACCTTATGTCCTCTCGGAGAAACCTGAGGCCAGCCGGAGCATCTCATGCTCACTTGCACCTGTGGACGTTCTGCCTAACCTCTCAGTCCGGAGACCCTGCAGCCAACCAGAGTGCCCCATCCACACCTCACCTTCTCATCGCACCTTCCTCCCACCTTCTTCCCACCTCAACTCCTTCCCTCACCTCACCAAGGCAACATTTTTCGGCCAGCTCAGCCGAGAGCACACAAACAGCTGCCCCCAAAATTTTCCGGCTTTCCTCTGCGTGGGCCGTACACGCAAATTTGATTTCTTCCCCCCTCCCACAACCCAGCGAAGTTGTTTTTTCTTCTTCCCTTCTTCATCGCGGCAACCGTCCCCTCTACCAGACGAACGATTGGCGAAATCAATTTTCGTTCAATCCATCAAACGACAAGCAAAGCATCTCGCTTCCGTCGAAGAAGAAGTATTTCCTCCCTTCTACATCTCCAGCTTCTGGACCCATTGGTGAGTATTTTGTCAGCCGCGGCCTCTTTCGCCTCTTTTTTTCTCTTCCCATCTCAGGTCGACGAGTTTGAACAAATAACTGACCACTCTAGCAGACGGAGTCATCAAACTCTTCTTCCTTCATCGCGCGATTACAATTACGACATCAGTTCATCGCGCCGCAATGTCTACATTTCCGCCCTCTCCCGGTGCCGACATGAGCAATCAGCGGGAGCTCTCATCTGGCGCCTCGTCGCCCCGATCCGACACTTCGAGCAACACCAACAGCTTGTTCTCTTCGCCCGACTCCCCTACTGACACAGAGGTGTCGTTTCCGACCACTGAGAACGAAGACACAGAGAAGTCTTCCGGTCTTGCTCAGGCCCATTTTGTCGTGACGCCAAGCTTCGCCAACTATGTCTTGGTGGGCAACACTCCATACGCCCCAGGCCAAGTGCAGGCGATGCGCGATGAACTTATCCAAGCACGCAGAACCGGAGAGTTCCCTCTTACGACCTCCGCCATCAATGACCCTCAGACCACAGTCGAGGACTACCAACATCTTCAGCGTCTCCGAGATGCTCTAGGCGACCCATCCGTCTTCCCGCCCCCGGAGAAATACACAATCCTTAAGGTTGACATTGCTCGTCGCATCAGGGCTCGCGACGAAGCCCGCGCTACCCCGGCCAACTTTCAAGAGGTGGATCATCGAGTTCAGAACTGGATGAACTCGATCAATAAGGAAGCACGCATGTTGGAGATTACACAGGCAGCACTTCAGCGCAAGGGCATCAACAACCCCACCCAAGACGACTTGGACGCCATCGCCGAGGAGTTCATGCAGATTGCGGAGCGCACTCTTCTTGACGTCGCCAATCCTCTGCGTATGAATACCACCCGACTTGCTGGCAACATTGATCGCTTCGACAGCCAGCTCAGTGGTCTCAATTCAGTCTCTTCGACTATCCAGTCTGCTGTCGATATGTCAACTCAAGCAATGGGCGCTTCCACGAAGGCAATGAGCACGGCAATGAGTGCACAGATCAATACTCTTAATACTGTTCTGGCGACGCAAGGCAATACTTTCAATGGCTCACTCACCATGCTCAACACAGCTTTGGGAACCGTTCAAACTGACTTGGATCAACTCGTCGCCAACCTGCCAGCCATCATTGCGACCGCAGTCCAAGCCGCCATCAACGAGCAACTGTCTCCAATCCCTCATCAGTACTTCTCCAGCACGCAACACCAATCCAACCACGACCAGCCACCCGGATACACTACAGCTACTCGAGTGCAACATTTCCAAGCACTTGACAGAGAGCTCCTCGGCGACGGCCCTGGAATGGTCCCTTCTACAGTCCGAGCATCAGGACAAGATGGGCAGACCTTGCTCTTGAACACACAGCCCATGAAGTCGAGATTCAGAAGATTCTTGCGCGTCATCACTGGAGGAGGTAAATCGAAGAAGGAGGCGGGTTCCAAGTAATGAAGCTCATGACGAGGCTTCAACATTCAGCTGTCCGACTTTGTGGCCAGCACTCCCTCCTCTGAGACGTACACAACACATCTGATCACCAAGCTTTGGAAAGATGGAAGGCATGATGGGAGGAAATTGGTTTTGTAGATCACTGGTAGTTTGACTCGTACGTACCACGAGATTAATAATTCGTTTCACATTGAGAAACTTGTTCCTTCGTGAAATCAAGATTGTGCTGAATTTGACCTTTTGTTGCTCCAGCCGATGGGATCATTCAGATGCAAAAGTCTCGCCGTGAGTCGGATCCCTCACTCAAGACAACACAAAGTGTCAAATTAGCTTCTATTTCTTGCCTGCCAGAATTGCTGTCATACCTGACCAGTCTCGTGAGAAGAAGATGATGTCTGTCATCTCATGGGCATGACTAGAAACACCATAGTCGTTCTTCTTGCGCACCATAGGGGCATATCAATACGAATGATACTCTTTACCGTATAGGAACCACCAGAAGTGATATCGCCACCTGGCAGCGCCTGAGGGCATTCCCAAATCTGTAACAACTGCCTGACTACCAGGTTGCCTGGCAGGCCGTGACCGCGTCTCCGACACGCGTCCACCTGCCTCAGCTTCGACAACCCAAACAATCCCAACGCGTCTTCTACTTCTGCTCGAGGCAGACGCTCTCATACCTTACCGGACGAGCCGCCTCAAGTGGGGTCGATACTGACCTGCCCACCCACGGGCCCCAGCCACTCTGCTCTGTCAATAACCTCGCGAGCCTGGCCTGCTTTTCACCTTACTCTTCTTCCTTCCATTCACACCCAACCAAAAGTCGCATATCCTGACTTTGCCATCCTATACCTTTCCGCGCCTCTCTTCCATTATTCACCACCAAACAATACACGCGTATCTGAAGGTCACCACAGGCAAGATCATTACAAGAAGCGTGTATCGTCACCTCGTCTATACCTATCTTACGACCGAAGCCATTCCGATACGCCTACTTTGCCTACTGCAATCTCAACAATCAGTCTGTTCAGATCCTAGAGGTAGGTCATTCTTCATCTCCCCCTTTGGCTTGTCTATCCTTTCCAGTGCTCCTATACCTCACCTTCTCTCACGCAAAGACTGTACTCCCTTTGAGACAACCTCTTGCCTCGCTGCGTCCCCTTTTCATCTTACTAGTCACTTCTTTGTCTGCCTGAATTCATTTGTGGTTTTTTTCTTTGCCTAAGAATTGGCGTACAATTCGCCACCGTGCAGTGTGCTTCACTGAATGCGATTCTTACTAACGATGCTACTTTCAGTCCAAAATGGCACCCTCTAAGCAGTCAAAGGGCAAGCTTCCCGAAGTCCCAAAGATGAAGCAGGATGCCAAAATCCAGAAGAACAAATCAGCGAGGAAGAATACCTCTGTCAAGGAACACAAGAGCCCCAAGAAAGGTGTCAAGGTGGCCACTCGCCCAAAGAATCGGGCCCTGATTCAGTGGAGAAGTAAGTAACATCCTTTCCATTGAAGACTCGTTCCTAGCGACTAACTACAGACACAGAAGAAGAGCCCTTGCTCGTAACTTTACTTTGGGTGCAGTACATCTGTGCCAAAGATCATGGCAAGATGCCCTGGGACGACATCATCCCCCAGTGCTTCACCGGAGTCACGTCGACGGCCTTCACTCAGTTCCTAGCGCGAGAGCGAAAGAGACTACTCAGGATGGGATATTGTGTCCCCCCTCTTCCCAGCCAGGCCAAGAGTTTGGAGAAGGATGCAAATCTTCGCGGCTATATCAACGAGCCGACCCCCGAGAACGAAGACGCCATCAGAACTATCAGCTTTCACGAGCCGTTCCTCCAGCCCTGCCAGCAAGGTGACAACTAGCAGTTGATTGCCAATGCAGCAGGTGAAGGAGAATCGGATGGTGAGGCTGAGGATGCCGTTATAGAGTATCAAGAGGATGAAGGTGACCTGGGCAGAGATGAGGCCCCCGAAAAGGTGAGTTCTCATTCAAATTTTCCTGCACAATCACTGATATTCAATAGGAGGGAGAGTCCTTCACAAACCCTTTCCGCCAGGATTCTTATCAGATCCTTCCTCAATCCGGCCATTCTCTCCACGGTAGTGAAGCTCAGCATGAGAACTCTCATCTCGACCAGCAAGGCCTAGAACTGCTGCTTCAACAAGACCGGCAATTTATCCAAGCTCAAGATGATGTCCAGATGGAGGTTCAGACCAATGCTCAGGCCGATGCCGAGGTCCAGCAGCAGCTCTTGGACCAGGCGCAATATCCGGGTCAGAATATCCAGATGGGGCAAGCCGGTCGGGACTGGCCGACCCAGGTTCATCAGCTTAACGGAGACACCGATATGCAGCGATATATGCAAGCAATCGAAGCCTGGAAGAATGATGCACCTCCAAATGAGATACGAATTCACGTCGAGGGTCTCGCTCCCATGGCGTACTACCTCCTTCAGGTGCCTGAGAGCGTAAGCCATCGCTTCAATCCGGCGTCCAGCACTGATACCATGCAGCCGATGCGGAACGAGAATGGCTATACGACATTCAGCATCCAGATTCCGGTCAACTTGGACGTCTATCTGAATGGCGTCAATAGCCAGGAAGCTGATCCTTCATTCGCACACATTGGCGAACCCGCCCCGGCGAATTTACCTCTGGGCAATTCGTCGCTCAATGAACCGGCTAGGGAGTCTTGGAACGGTGGTCTTTGGGAGGGCGCCAATGGTGACTTTCATGGTGTCTGTTATCAGCATGATAATATCACTCGCTACGCCGAAGTCATTGACTCGAACCGCATGGGATGGGAGGAGCGAGTCGAGTTGAATGACATCAATTCGACGGCCATGGGCCCCAACATGCACCAGTAGGTCGATGGGCGGGTCATGAGCTGGAACAGTCTTTGCCAATGAGGCAACATCTAGCACTGGACTTGATATCAAGCAATTGAGAAGCCCGGATTGGCGTTGGAGGTACCTCATTGAAAGGAGAACAGTTTTGTTGTGTGCACAATTGATTTTGGCTCTGCTCCCCCTTTTTCTTTTGCTCACGATCTCTTCCATTGCCTATACCTTGTGGCATTTCCCATTGGCCCTTTCTACCTATCCTTGAAAAATACGTATAGAGTGATAACAGCAGAAAGTGCAACATGTGGTTGTGCACTGGCGAGATCGCATTAGACACAATAGATCCGAACATTGAGATCGAGCGTTTAGACTTCAGTTGTCGTGGCTAAAGTCTCGGAGCTCTTACGATTGACTGACGACAGCCAGCAATGACACGCTTCAGATTTAAATGGCAGCATGCAATTTCACGCAGAAAGCTACAATCTTCTTGAGGTAGAATGTCTTGTTTGACAAACGACTAGCACAATTTACTTGTCGCGGTCTTGTGATGTATGTACAGTAGAATGAACCATTGGGTTCAATCCTGGTTCAATGAAATTTGTACACGAATTTGGTGAATGTAGAATCCCTCTCTCCTTACATGCCATCAGCAATCATGGCGTTGATGATCTTTACGTGACGATCCGCGTTTGTCTCGCTCCATTCGGTATCGTAGTTGAGCCCGTACGGCCAGAAATGCGAGCCACCACAGCTGATCTTAGCACTGGAACCATCCCAGGAGCGAAGCAGGGGCAATGCCGTAGCCCAGTTGCCGGACGCGCACTTGGAGTCGAAGGCGGCAGTCTGACCAACGCCGAGTGTGTGGGATATCTCGTGGAGCGCAGTACGCTCGTTCATGTAAGATCGGTTCGATCCGAAGCGGAGGTCACCGTTGTAGTTGGCCTCGGCAGTAGGAACGCCGGGCGTGTAGTAGACACGGATTGTCTTGCTTGCCTTTCCCTGCTTTGCATGTCTTGCTACGGCCAGCTTCATGGCGGCTTCGATTTTGGTGTATGCGTCGGTTTGGTCGGCCGTGGGGTTGGCAGCCTTCTCAAGGGTCCAGGTGATGGCGCCTTGAGCGGCAGAGGCGGAGGCCACGATGACGGCAAGGAGTGACAGCTTCATGTTTGCAGAAAGAGCGAGTGTGTATTTGTGAGATTAGAGTATAGGATGCTGGTGATGATCTTGCAATGTCTTCCGTATCTTCGTCTTCGACCGCCTCCCTTCTTATACTCCAAGCGCACCACCATCTAGGAGGTTGCTCCGGCCCCTTGCCCAAGCGAGTTGGAAATTAAGGATATATGTTGCAAGAAGATCGTGCCTATTCTAACTCGGTCTCGCGCAGCAGGTCCTCTAACTCCCTTGTAGTACTCCGTAGCATTCTCATCCTTGCGATAGCGCGGCCAAGAGGTTAGGGGTTGCATCACGGCGCCACGGCGCCGGCGCTCCGTTTCTTGATGTTTCAAGTACAGTGAGCAGCTGCAATAAAGTCGAGGCATGCGCACCTATGAGGAGACTAAGAAAAGAAGCTTGTTTGAAACGTTGCACCGTTAAATCTAGGTGTAACTCGCATGCGGCTAACGCATTGCTCGGATGGCAGTTCTCGTGACTTGCTTAAAGTGCCATCCAATGTTTGCTGAGCTGCTACAACGTTGGGGTTCATGCTATGTGTCCATTACTTCGTATTGCTTGGTAAGTCGGTGCAGTTGCTCAGGAGAAACCCCATAGTCGATCGTCCGCCGATGTTCTCCGATGGACGAACCCATGTCAATATTCGGCAATGGTCACTAGGGGATACCATGTGCGGATGCTGAGAATGGAGACAGATGCCATTGGAAGACGGTAGAAATGCACCCACAATTGCGCTAATCCCCTTTGGTACTGGCGCTCGAGAAGGGACCTCGTTTAGCCGAACGTCCGAGATAAATTTTTGGAGCCGGTGACAGGAAGCTTCTCCAATTCTATCACTCACTGCAACTTTTTACTTCATCTCCTTGGAGCGACACGTGTGATTCAAACCCGGCGACACCTTCAATCCTTAGCTCTGTATTTCTTCTTTCTTACCTAGATACCCTCATAATAAGATTCAAGATGCAGCGCGCTCTTTCTTCCCGCGCGAGAGCTTCCGTCCTCTCTGCTGCTCCCAGCAAGTTCCGTGCCGGTGCCGGCCTGGGACAGCAGCTTCGCTTTGCCCACAAGGTTCGTCAACACGTCGTGAAGCATTGGCAATGCCATCAGCTTCAGAATGCTAACTCAGTCTACAGGAGCTGAAGTTCGGTGTTGAGGGCCGTGCTGCCCTGCTCGCTGGTGCCGATACTCTGGCCAAGGCCGTCGCGACAACACTTGGCCCCAAGGGTCGCAACGTCCTCATTGAGTCAAGCTATGGCTCCCCCAAGATCACAAAGGGTAAGGAAACATGCAATTGAGTTGGATTCCATCAAAAAGCTGACTGATTCGTAGACGGTGTAACTGTCGCGAAGGCAATTACCCTCAAGGACAAGTTCGAGAACCTCGGCGCCCGCCTCATCCAGGACGTCGCCTCCAAGACCAACGAGACCGCCGGTGACGGTACCACCACCGCCACCGTCCTCGCCCGTTCCATCTTCTCCGAGACCGTCAAGAACGTCGCCGCTGGCTGCAACCCCATGGACCTGCGCCGTGGTATCCAGGCTGCTGTCGACGAGGTCGTCGCTTTCCTCCAGAAGAACAAGAGAGATATTTCCACCAGCGAGGAGGTTGCCCAGGTCGCCACCATCTCCGCCAACGGTGACCAGGAGGTCGGCAACCTGATTGCCAAGGCCATGGAGAAGGTCGGCAAGGAGGGTGTCATCACCGTCAAGGAGGGCAAGACTCTGGTCGACGAGCTCGAGGTTACCGAGGGTATGCGCTTCGACCGCGGCTTCGTCTCCCCCTACTTCATCACCGACGCCAAGTCCCAGAAGGTCGAGTTCGAGAAGCCCCTGATCCTCCTCTCCGAGAAGAAGATCTCTGCTGTCCAGGACATCATTCCCGCTCTTGAGGCCTCCACCCAGCTGAGGCGTCCTCTCGTCATCATTGCCGAGGACATTGAGGGTGAGGCTCTCGCCGTCTGCATTCTCAACAAGCTCCGTGGCCAGCTCCAGGTCGCTGCCGTCAAGGCCCCCGGCTTCGGTGACAACCGCAAGTCCATCCTCGGTGACCTGGCTGTCCTCACCAACGGTACCGTCTTCAGCGAGGAGCTTGACATCAAGCTCGAGAAGGCCACCCCCGACATGCTCGGCTCCACCGGCTCCATCACCATCACCAAGGAGGACACCATCTTCCTCAACGGTGAGGGTGCCAAGGACTCCATCTCCCAGCGCTGCGAGCAGATCCGTGGTGTCATGAACGACCCCACTACCTCCGAGTACGAGAAGGAGAAGCTCCAGGAGCGTCTGGCCAAGCTCTCTGGTGGTGTCGCCGTCATCAAGGTCGGTGGCTCCTCCGAGGTTGAGGTCGGTGAGAAGAAGGACCGCTTCGTTGATGCCCTGAACGCCACCCGCGCCGCCGTTGAGGAGGGTATCCTGCCCGGTGGTGGTACCGCCCTTATCAAGGCCTCTGCCCTTGCTCTTAAGGACGTCAAGACCGCCAACTTCGACCAGCAGCTTGGTGTCACCATCGTCAAGAACGCCATCACCCGCCCTGCTCGTGCCATCGTCGAGAACGCTGGCCTTGAGGGCTCCGTTATCGTCGGCAAGCTCACCGATGAGTTCGCCAGCGAGTTCAACAAGGGTTTCGACTCCTCCAAGGGCGAGTACGTCGACATGATTGCCGCCGGTATCCTTGACCCCTTCAAGGTCGTCCGCACCGGTCTGGTTGACGCCAGCGGTGTTGCTTCCCTGCTCGGTACCACTGAGGTCGCCATCGTTGAGGCTCCCGAAGAGAAGGGACCTCCTCCTATGGGCGGCATGGGTGGTATGGGCGGAATGGGAGGCATGGGTGGTATGATGTAAAAACATGATCCATGATCAAAATGTCTTCTTGTATTAAAAAAAGTCAACTGGGCGAGGGGCATGGGCATTGGTGTTACTATTAAAAAGGATGTATAACTGCGGCCATTTGTACTAATCTCCCCTCTTTCCCCCTTTTACGCAGCAGTATCCCTGAGGGGACTTGAGAGCTCTGTATTGTACAATAGCACTAGCAAGTTATGTAAGATGAAGAAAGAAAGCAAAACGAGTTAAAGAATAACAAGACAAAGAGCAAATGCATGCATTGACTAGACTGGAGCTGTGCACGGTGTGTTGACGTCGATCGGTAGCTACTTAGTTAACAACTCAGTGACAGCTTGAAGAATTGGGCCAGTGTTTCGGCCGCTACTTTTTAGTGGTAGAGTTCCTTGGCTTCGTGCTGACAAGTAAGGTAGGCAACCGTTAAGTGCAGCCCGGTCCACGTCACGTAAACAGGCACCCATCATGTACTTTTTGGTGATGACTTCTTGTGCTTATTTTAACCAAGCAACAGGAGCTCGCCGCCCCTTGCAATGGGCTGTCCCCCCAACAAGAGATTCCAAGTTCAGGCCCTGTCTGTTGACTGCCGCCTGGGGTGGGATTCGTCAACCTCCTGTGGCTGACGCAGATAGTCACGTGCTCCAATCTCACCTGGACAACAACCCCACCATGCGGGTGTTTTTCTCGCCCGCTTCCCCTCCACTGTGACCCAACTCCTCCGTTCCTGTCCAAGATACCTCATCACCCGAAAGCAAGCTGTTGCCTCTTTTTCTGCCACCACCCTCCGTGCAGCAAATCTCCCGGCTGAACCACTCGATCTCGAAGTAGGCACCCCCATTTTCCCTTTTGCTTTGCACGGCAAACAGTTTTAAATCATTCAATTTCCCTTCTGTTTTCTAGTTGCTAATCTGCTCTCAGCCCACTTTCCCGCCTCTTCTCCTAGCCACACCCCCGCCATAAACCAGCATCATGGTGAGTAACTAAAAGCTTCCAAGGATCAGCCGTCTACCAAAACACCATGCTAATCTCAATCGCAGTCTCAATCCGGGTTCGTATTTCCCCTTCCGAAGAGCCTCTTACCTCTGCGCCGACTCACCATCTAATGGGCGACTCTACCGCTCGTTCGATGACGATCCCGGCGGAGCAGGACAAGCTGGCTCCATCTACCACCTCACCTCAGCAAGGCGGCGCATGCTAACCCGATTTTCCCCACCAGAGCGCAAGTCTCTCAGGAGTGCATAACGGCCTACAACGAGCTCAAGCTCTCCAAGAAGTACAAGTACATCATCTACAAGCTCTCGGACGACAACAAGGAGATCGTCGTCGAGGAGGCCTCGGCCGATAAGGACTATGACAACTTCCGCGAGAAGCTGATCAACGCCCAGACCAAGTCCAAGAGCGTATGTTTCTCTGCAATTCCGCGACGCAATGCTGCATTTCAAAGACAATTCTAACAATGCATCAGGGTGCTGTTGGCAAGGGCCCCCGCTACGCCGTCTACGACTTCGAGTACAGCCTTGCCTCTGGCGAGGGTGAGCGGTACGTTGCCCCGCATTCGCCCAACCTGGAACCTGCAGCTAACACTCCAACAGCAACAAGATCACCTTCCTCGCCTGGTCCCCCGATGATGCCGGTGTCATGGTCAGTACCAGCTACTCTTGGAAAGCTCAATTGAATTGTCGCTAACCCACTACCAAAGGCCAAGATGGTTTACGCCTCCTCCAAGGAGGCCCTGAAGCGCTCGCTCACTGGTATCGCGACCGAGCTCCAGGCCAACGATGCCGACGACATCGAGTACGACTCCATTCTCAAGACCGTCAGCAAGGGCATGGCTGGTTAAATGTCTCTTTCCCCCTCAAACACACCCATACCCTTCCTTACGCGGTGAGACGGAGCATACACTTTGGCGGCTGCAGTCTTCCGGGACGATTGACGACGATCATGGAGAGTTTACGATGAATATGGAGGGCCACTTTCTCCCCCTTTGGCGATTTCGGGACCCAGACCTTTTTCCCACTCCGAGTTTCTTTTTGGGGCGTGACAAGTAAATTTCCAGATTTGAACTGCCCGCCTGGTTATATCAACCCAGTGCCATAGGAAAACATCTCATGCCGGAATGCAGAGCATTCTTGTTGTTGCGCAAATAACGACGACGAAATCACTTCTTTATTAGACCATCACCTATGTTCAAGTGTTGTGCTTCGTGAATTTCTACGTTATGACTTCTTCTGGGCCTGCCAGGTTGAGCGCCACAGCCCTGATAGCTCCTCCGCCTTTTGCTCGTGCTTAAGCCTCTGCAGCAAGAAGCCCTTGAGATCGCTCCAGAATTCGTCCGTGTCCAATGCCGCCTCTCCGATGTCCTCCTCTGTAGTGTTGGGCGCAACCGCAGCGCTAGGCTCAGGCTTGACTGCAGCAGCTCCTCCAATAACCATGACGGAGAACTCAAGAGATGCCTGACCGTCCGTAAGCAAGTCCTTCAGCACCTTGCTGTCTGGCACCGGCTTCTTGTTGAACAGCAGCTTCATCTTGTCCACAGGTATCCGTGACTCCGCCTCGACCGCCGTCTTGATGTCGAGGATGGAGGTGTTGAGCGACTGCGAGGACAGCTTGATATCCAGGGGAGGGTTGCGCAGGGACTTGAGGGTGACGTTGACACTGCGCTCCTGGCCCGGCGCAAGGTTCGAGGGCTTGCTCATGGCCTTGGGCATCTTGGGCAGGATGTACTTCAAGATGTTAGCTGCCCATAGCTACAAACACTTCATTAGTGGGGATGAGGCTTACAGGTGGGCGGGCCGGGAAGTTCTTGGGGTCCTCGACGTGATCGGCGGACAGCTTCGCCGGGCGCGACTCCAAGGTCGCGAGAAACTGTCTTGCGAATACGACTTCAGCCATGGTTGCGATATGTTAAGCTATGTGGCGCGCTTTCGGAAGTCTGCCTGGTTGGCGTTGCTTGAGTCGTTGGTTTGAGTTCAGAAGCTATAGGTTGTGTGAAATATAGGGAAGGAATGTCGGCGAAGGCTTAATTACTAGATGATCGGCTGGAGGGTAAGGCGTTGGAAATGACTTCGTCCGGTGTTCAGGTGTGCTGCCCGCTCTGCTCAGGTAGAGTTGACGCACTGAAGAGGGATGGCGGGGCGGACTGAGCTGGAGTGTGGAGCTTCGACCGCTCGTCTGGGCGGCGTGGCTTTATCGCCCAATCTTATCGGTACTGGTCAGTGCGCGATAGGAAAAAGTTTCGGTGGGGGGACCGCTTCTAACCCAAGTGAAGGAACTTTTTTTTTTCTTCTGAGCAGTGTAGCGGCGACCGACTTTGAACCAGGCGGTACCGTATATCTTGAATTTTCTACTTCTTCGGTACCCTTTTTTCCCCACCCCAAATACCCAAGTTTCGATACGAATTGATTGATCAAAATGGGTGTCGGAAACCGTATGAAGAAGCAGGGTGCGCCCGAACCCTTGTCAGAGGCGCATTTCGCAAAGTTGAAGCGCAAGGCCGGTCTGCCAGTCGAGCCCGTCGAGGCTCCCGAGGTCAAGAGGAGGAGAAGAGGAGCGGCACCCAAGGCCAATGCCGCGGCAGCGAAGAATCAGGATGCGAAGAAGAGCAACGGTGCCAAGGCTGGAAAGCCTGCGCCCAAGGCCGCCAACGGCAGAGGAAAGAAGGCACCCCAGCCTGTCGACTCGGACGAAGAGATGTCAGACGACGACGATGCCGGCGACTTCGCCGGTGCCCCTTCCGACATGAGCGACGATGATGACGAGGTTGACGAGTTTTCCGACCTGGAGGCCGCGGAGAAGCTGGGAGACGACTTCATAGATGGTTCTGACGACGATTCCGTGTACGATTCAGAAGAGGAGCGTGGCGGCGGCGGAAAGCACATGTTCTCAGAGGACGAAGACGACTCGGACGGCGAGGAGATGCTCACAAAGGCCAACATTGAGGGTCTCGCACGGAGACTCGACCAGAAGCAGGCCGAGGAGGACGCCGACGCGCAGGCCGAACTCGAGGAGATGGGCATCCAGACCAACATTGACGGCGACAAGCCGCACATCCTCGAAGACGACTCGGACGACGAGCTCGCCGCCAAGACCAAGACGCTCCTCGCGCCCGACCTGCAGCTCCTGAGAACGAGAATCACGGAAAACATTAGAGTGCTCGACGACTTTGCGAAGCTCCACGAGGAGGGCCGCTCCCGCACAGAGTACGTCAACCAACTTATCAAGGACATCTGCGCCTACTACGGCTACTCCGAGTACCTCGCCGAGAAGCTCTTCAACCTCTTCTCCCCCCGTGAGGCGTTCGCCTTCTTCGAGGCCAACGAGTCGGCCCGCCCCGTCGTCATCCGCACAAACACCCTCCGCACCCACCGCAGAGACCTCGCCCAGGCCCTCATCGGCCGCGGCGTCACCCTCGAGCCCGTCGGAAAGTGGTCCAAGGTCGGCCTCCAAATCTTTGAGAGCAACGTGCCCCTCGGTGCCACGCCCGAGTACCTGGCCGGCTACTACATCCTCCAGGCCGCCTCCTCTTTCCTGCCCGTCATGGCCCTCGAGCCGCAGGAGAACGAGCGCGTGCTGGATATGGCCGCCGCTCCCGGTGGTAAGACGACGCACATGGCCGCCATGATGAAGAACACGGGTGTCATCGTCGCCAACGATCCCAGCAAGCAGCGTGCCAAGGGTCTCATTGGTAACATCCACCGCCTCGGCGCTCGCAACGTCGTGGTCTCAAACTACGACGCCAGAGAGTTCCCCAAGCCCATGGGCGGCTTCGATCGTGTTCTGCTCGATGCCCCTTGCTCCGGTACTGGTGTCATTGCAAAGGATGCCAGCGTCAAGACCAACAAGACGGAGAGAGATTTCATGCTGCTGCCGCACATGCAGAAGCAGCTTATCCTCGCCGCCATTGACTCTGTCAACCACCACAGCAAGACGGGTGGTTACATTGTCTACTCTACGTGTTCCGTCACAGTCGAGGAGAAGTAAGCACATCCACCATATCCCTTTTC